CAAACCACTTACCTGACAAGAAGTTAAGATACAAAATACATATGGAACACAAACAACTCAATAGCAAAAATAAATAAATAATTCAATTAAAAAGAGGCAAAGGGCCTAAAAAGACATTTCTCAGAGAAGACATGAAATGGCAAAAAGGTATATGAAAAATATTCAACATCTCTAATTGTCAACTAAATGCAAATCAAAACCATGTAAGTCACATCTTTTATAATAGTTATTAACAAAAAGTCAAAATATAACAAATATTGTTATGGGTATGGAAAAACGAAAACCTATGCACTTTGTTTGTAGTATATCCATTATGGAATGCCATATGGAAGTTCCTAAAAATAAACACACACACAAACACACACACACACAATCATGTGATTCAGCAATTACTTTTGAGTGTATATCCCAAAGAATAAAATATTTGCACTTTTACACTAACTTCAGCATTATTCACAATAGCCAAAATATAAAGCAATGTGTCTGTTGACACATGAATGAATAAAGAAAAAGAGATACTCACACACAGTACCCAAGGTGTGGAAACAATCCAAGTATTCATCAAAAGTTGTATCAATAAACAAAAGATAATGTATACATACAAGGGAATATTATGTAGCCTTGAAATTCTGGAAATTCTGACATATACTACAACATGGATGAACCTTGAAGACATTATGATGAGTGAAATTATCCAGTCACAAAAGGACAAATACTGTATGACTCCACTCATGTGATATCCCTAGAGCAGTAAAATTCACAGAGACGAGAAATAGAGTGGTCATTGTCAGGGGACTGTGGTAAATGGAAATGGGTAGTTATTGTTGAATATGTACAGAATTTCATATGGGGAAAATGAAAAAAGTTTAGGAGATAGTAGAGATGGCTGCAAAACATTGTGAAGGAATTTAATTCCACTAAATTATGTACTTAAAATGGCTAAAATAGTTATTTCTTATGTTGTAGACCATAATTATAAAATAATAAGGCAACATTACCTTTGCAAATTCCAAGACTTTTGGCAATCACTTACTTTTGTTTCAGGGTAGATCAGACACCAAAGTGTCTTATTGTAGTTTGTTAGAGCCAGTAAATCAGAACTCTAATTCAGACATTTTTTATGAGAGTATCTCATCACTGGCTGGTATGACTTCTTCCTTTGTAAACAGCATTCCCTTCTCTGATATCAGTACTGAGGAATGAAGTTGGTAGACAACTTAGCTTAATAGAAAAAAGACAAATAAAAATAAAGTATTATTTGGTCAAGATCAAATAACTTGGCTGGGGTTGTAGCTCAATTGGTAGGGCGCTTACCTTTCATGAATGAGGCCCTGGATTTAGTCCTCAGCACAACATAAAAATAAATAAATAAAAATAAAGACATTGTGTCCATCTACAACTAAAAAAATATATTTTTTTTAGAAAAAAAACATATCAAATAACTACTTCAGAAACTATACACAACATCTCTAAAAGCAAGATGAATTCCCTGATAGTGGACACAGACCAAACATCAAAGACAGTTCTTGCCAACAGAAGAGATAAAAAAGCAGTGTTTACAAAGAAGGTTCTAAAGATACTGTTATTAATGACAGGGAAAAGCTTCCCTTTGCTGAGGTAAGTATAAAATGGTGAATGAGGGCAAGATAATATTTTATTAATCAGCAGAGATGATCAGCTATGTTGTTGGAGGACAGTATAGGTAATTAAATAATATAAATAGTTATAGGTAAATAAACATTATTT